GTACTCAGTCATCTGAAGGCTGATGGGACGCAGGTCCCTGTGGCCTATTATTCAAGGACTCTGTCTTCTGCAGAGCGGAATTATGCTCAGATTGACAGAGAAGCCTTGGCCATAGTGGCTGGCATTAAGAAATTTCATGATTTCTTATATGTCCGCCATTTCACGGTCTATACTGACCATAAGCCTCTGTTGGGGCTGTTTACCACTAACAAACAGACCCCACATATCATTTCTCCTCGTATGCTGAGATGGTTCATTTTCCTGTCAGCATATGACTATACATTGGTCCACAAACCAGGAAAAGAAATGGGCCATGCTGATGGCCTGAGCAGATTACCTTTGAACCAATTAGAGCCAGATCTAGCTCCAGCCATTAATATTCTCTCCATCCAGGAATTACCGGAGTCTCCCCTAAATGCTAGGGATGTAGCTGCAGAAACTGCCACTGATCACATGCTTACACGCGTGCTGACATGGGTGCTGTCAGGATTGCCTGACAAGTGCCCAGATACTGAGTTCCAAAGCTTCTGGCACAAGAAGCACGAGTTTTCCACTTTCAAGGGTTGCCTGTTATGGGGTAGCAAGGTAGTGATCCCAGCCTCATTGAGGTCTAGAATCTTGCTCTCTCTGCATGAGGGACATCCTGGTATAGTAAGGATTAAAGCACTTGCGTGGTGGCCTGGGTTCGATAAAGCCATTGAGGCCCAAGTGCACGGGTGCCAAGTGTGCCAAAAGTCTAGGCCTGAAATGCCTCAGGCACCAGTACATAGGTGGGAGGAAACTCAAACCCCTTGGTCTAGGGTGCATATAGATTACGCTGGGCCTTTCAGGGGCAATTCTTCCTGGTTGTTGTTGATAGCCATTCCAAGTGGCTAGAGGTTGTTCCTGTTTCATCCACTACTACTGCCAGGACCATCCAGGTCCTGAGAGGAATTTTTGCATCACATGGTCTTCCAGATATTCTGGTTTCAAATAATGGCCCTCAATTTACATCTTCTGAGTTCCAGGCTTTTCTTCAGGCCAATCTGATCCAGCATGCAACATCGGCTCCCTTCCACCCATCCTCCAACGGACTGGCAAAGAGAATGGTGCGCACCACCAAAGATGCCCTCAAGAAACTGACTTACAGTAACTGGCATCACAGGTTAGCAGATTTCCTTCTTGCACACCGCACCACACCATGCACTGCTACAGGGAAGAGCCCTGCTGAACTCCGCTGGGGTCGCCGCCTCATCGCTAAACTGGACAGGTTGCACCCAGACCAGGTGGCTTCACAGGTGTCACAACCACGGGCACCTAGGAGACTCCAAGTGGGTGATCCGGTCTGGGCATGGAACTATGGGCCTGGTCATTTCTGGGTCACAGCTGTGGTCTGCAAGGTCTCTGGGCCGCTGTCATACGAAGTTGCCTTGGGAGACGGCTGCGTTCTTCGCAGACACATAGACCAACTGCGTTGGAGACTGGATTCTCACCCTTCCGCTTCTGGCTCTGCTCTGGGGGGGGGGGACTATAACATACATTCTGAAGTTCAGTTTCATAGGCCTAACAGGCCATCACTAGCCACTACTGAGGCTATTTGGGATTCATTCCAAGGTTCCGCAAGTGCTCCTAACAGGAATTCACCGGATAGGGGGTCATCCCACACATTCATAAGTGCTCCAGACAGGGAGACTGACTGGGGGTATCCACACAAATCACAAACAGCAAGAGAACAAGAATTCCAGCAGGGGTGCTGGCCCAATTCCGCAATTGCTCTCAGAAGGCAAAACTCTTGGCAAAACCTACCCATTTATTGTTCTCTTTGAAGAAGCTAAAATTACCATCATTTTTTTCAATAGGCAAGGAATAAGGATTTCATGTTTTCTTTCTATCCAGGTTTGTTTATTATTTAGCAGAAGTAAAAACTCCATGCACACTGTCAAATTTTCTGGAATTGGCCATTCAATATGTTAAAAATAATAGATTCAAGTTTGCTGGATGCAGAGAAAAAATTAAACCAAATTAGTCTTTTTTATATTGGCCATGTCTAACCAGACGTTGATATATTACAGTCAGGTCACTTGTGCCATAGAAGATGCATGAATTTTGATTATGAACCGAGTTTTTCAGAATGATTTAATTAGCTGTTATTAAATGTGGATGGCGAAACAGTAAAAAGGGGTGGAGTTCTGCAGCATATATTATGTTAGGTATTGGGAACAATTAGCAAAACTCTCACTGCAGTATAACATTAAACAGTTCATCAGGTTGAGGACAGAACCTTGGTCTATTTTATGACAGCAATTTCTAACAGGTAAGTTTCTTTGTTATTGTAGGAGATGGTGCAATTTTTTTTCTGCTAAAAGATTGTTGGTTTTTTGCTATTTATATTATAAAATATTGCATGCTTTTTAAAACAAAACAAAACAAAAACTTAAGCTAAAACAAATGCTTACTATACAGGATGGAATTGAAGAAAAAAATTACAAATGAAATTGAGTAGGCTTATAACAAAAAGACAAGTTCTTACATTTATATTTTCATCAGAATTTTTAATGCAATAAAAGTATTTATTCAAAGTTTAGGAGAAATCTTCACATGCATGAAGTTCGCATTTGAAAAATGCTTTAATTTCTGTGAAAATGATTTTTTTAAAATACTTTTTTTAAAAGTATCCCATCTGTATGCTATTACTATAATTATTGAACTCACAATAAGCAATATAAATAATATATAAATATGACCATCTACTTCAAACAAAATAAAATAAATAAACTACCTAGAACTGACCATGTTTTAAATTATATATTTCATCTTCTGATCTACTTTGTGCAGTTTAAGCAAGTGAGACTCAAATTATATGAAATGACATTGACAGGGTCAACACTTTTATATAAAACCAAATATTAAAAGATGACAATTAGCAAGACTAAGTAAATTTTCAGAAGTGTTGCAAATATGCAGTAACAGAACATGGGGCAGTGATCCACTGCATGCTCTATGTACTTATGGTGGGTTACACTTTAAGATTGCAGTTATGTTCCGTTTTATTAACTACTTTCTATTTTTTTAGAAAAAAATGTGAAAAACTTACTGATAGCTCTAATGTACCATGAACTGTTATAATCATATTTATGCAGGGTTTGCTAAGACCTGAAAATTATTTCAAGGGTACTTCCCAAGTAAAAAAGATGATAAATGAGGCTATTATAATAGAATCTTGCAAGGTTGACTACTTTTCCTTTCCCTCCATTTTATATTCCAGGGAGCAGTCAGTCAGGAATCTTCCCATTTCATATTCTATTTCCTGAGCTCAATGCATGTTTTACACATGGGATATAACCATCTCTGAATAATTTCTGCAAGATTGTCTTAGTGGTGATGACCATATTCTGAATCAAGTCTATAAGCCTACTGGTAATGAATACAATGCCTTTGGTGGGATTATTCCAACAGTATTCTTGGTATGATCGCTTGTACCAGCTGTAGCATCCAGGTTGTCTCCAAAGACAGCTCCAATTACAGCACATTGCAGAAGTCCAACTGGATCTTCATCAGCATGAAGTGTGTTATTGTGGTCAGAGTATATTGATTCAGACAGGGTTGCAATTGGCATATCAGCTAAAATTCAATGAAGGCTCCTCTGACTTGATGCTCAAGTACATGACCTTTCCCACTAGTTTTCCTTGTACAACATGGGTGAGAACTTTGTCATAAGTGTAGATTCAAACATGAGACAAGTTGTCGGGGAACTCCCACTGCTTTGTCTATGAAAAGGATGCAGTAAAAAAGTGGTAAAAAGTGAAAAACCTACATGTGTTTTGTAGAATCTCTTCCCTATATTCTATTGCTATTTCTATATCACTATGCTAATTACTATATTATACTATTCAATTACTATTACAATATTTCCTCTATACAGATAGTCCTCGACTTACAACGGTTCATTTAGTGACCGTTTGAAGTTACAACAGCTCTGAAAAAAGTGACTTATGACCATTTTTCACACTTATGACCATTAGCATTCCCATGGTCAAGTGATTTAAATTTGGATGCTGGACAATTGACTCACATTTATGATGGTTGTAGGGTTCCTGAGTCACGCGATCCCATTTTGTGACCTTCTGACAAGCAAAGCCAATTGGGGAAACCAGACTCACTTAACAACCATGTTACTAATTTAACAACTGCAGTGATTCACTTAACAACTGTGGCAAAAAAGTCATAAAAATGGGGCAAAACTGACTTAACAAATTTCTAACTTAACAACACAAATTTTGGACTCAATTATGGTTGTAACTTGACGACTACCTGTACTGTATTCTATAGTACAACTGTTCTATTATTACATTTCCTCTTTACTAGCAATGTTTTCTTCTTACAAATCCTGTTGTGTCTTCTGCCTTAATCCCCTCTCTCTCTGGGATTCCTTCTTTTTTTTTCTTCTCTGTTAATGGCTACCATACTCCTTTTTGCTTTGCCTTGCTTTACTTGTTCTGCCTGTATCCTTTTTCCTTTGAACCCTTTGGAAAAAAAAAAACCCTTTTTCGATTCAGCTTTGCACTATTTACTATTGCTGGTGGCTGCAGAGCTTCTAAAACACACATCTCTTCCCATGCCTCTTTCTAGGTTGCAGCTTTATTGACAATTCCACTGTGCTGACACTGGGAAAAAGGCTCAAATGGGAGGGGTGGGAGGCAGCAAAAGTGCCTGCAATTTTTCTAAAAAGCCTGCTCTTCCACATACTCCTTTAAGAAAAAAAATATTTCTTTTTAAATTAGGTTAATGTAATCTTACTGTCTTTACCATACCACAGTTAGAATTTCTGAGAGTAATAATGTTTTGCTGTCCAGCTTGATGTATGATATTAAATTGGTACATTGTACTGTCCGATGCCATCTGATCAGTCATGCATTAATATCTTTCATAGTTGATGGCCAATTATCACAGAATTTCTGACCTCAAAGATATACTCACAGAGCATTGATTGCCCATTTTAGCTTGCATGCTGCTTTTTCAATTGTTCTGTATTATATTTCTTGGGAAAAGTTTCTTTGTAAATACCCCAGGATCTGCAGTACACATCTGCATGAAAGACATTGTCCTATAGGGTAGTGTGCTTTTCTCTCTCCCTTAAGCTACAAATCCTAGAGTGTCTAGTCTCTGAGGATTCAAGCTATAGGCCTCAAAGGCCTGGAACTTCAGGAGCAGTCAGTCTGAGGGGGTAGAAAGAGTGCGTGACCTACAACAATCTCAGGGTAGCAAGGCAAACTTCAGACACACTAGAAGCAGGAATAGAGGAAGGTAAAAGACAAGCTGGAAGGTGGTCAACCCTGCCAAGGGAGGCATGATCCACAACTAAAAGTTGAATGGCTAGGACTGGAGGGTTAGTTCTGGCTGGGGCCACTAAGAGGAATAAGCAGCTGCAAAGAGCCAGGGCAGTATAGCTTCAAGAGGCAAGCAATGTCCTTTCTAATTAGCAAGGCCTGAGGGTGGCCCTTCTCCTCACCCTCCAAGAGGATGTTTCTACCTTTCTGAGGATGGGGGTGGTGAAAGGAAGCTTCAGGACAGGAGGCTTTTATGACCAAATGATTACTCTTGTGGGTATAATGGAATTGTTGTAACAACCCTGCTCAGATGTACAGAGCCTTAACTTAATGATTTTTTTTTTCCACGGAAGTCTGTCAAGTCAGCTCCCTGCCCCATCCTTCTGAGAGGAGGGAACAGATAAAAAATAAATGGGATGGCTTCAGAGGCCATGTAATAAAGAGGTGGAATTTCCCTCTTGATCATATAGCTGGGGAGCAAGTGATTCTTGTAAAGATTATTTCTTCATTCCATTGGCAATTCATGGCAGCTAATGGTGTTGACAAAACTGAATATAAAGGGAAATGATACAGTAATAAAACAGTAAAATAAAGTATATGTCTAGGGGCCAGAATACAAGTCATATAGTACAACAAGCTCATCTACAATCCTGGGCCTGCATCTCGGAGAGGAGGCAGGAATTCAGCCTTCTGAGGGCTGGCAGAGTTGGGGCCAATCAAATGTTGAGGGAAGCTTTTCAGTAGGCAAGTCAAGCATGTTTCAGGACCTATAATGCTTAATTGATATGTCATGGAACAAACCAATTCTGTTAGATCATATAGATGAAAAGAGTTAATTGGAGACAAACTGTCCTACAAATATGGAGTCTCTGTGCCAGGAAGGGGAATATGAGCTACAACTACACTCAACAAATATTGATGGCTGTGTATACCAAATGTTGTATACATAAACACACAACTCAGTTCTCATGTTCATTGAACCTCTTGTCAATATTTCTATATCAGATCAGATTTTTCTTAACTTAGCTATTAATAGTACAAAGGCTCAACACTCTCTAAGATTTGTATGATCCATGACAGCCAATTTGCTGTAGGCACCAGACTAAACACAGGAAGACTGAGTTCTAATTCTTACCTCAGGTCCCAAGCCTTTAGCCCAAGTCTCTCTCTCTTAGCCCCAGGAAGATGACAATGATAAATCACTTCTGAAAAATTCTGCCATGAAAACTGCAAGGACTAGTTCAGGCAGTTATCAGGAGTCAACATGAATTTAAAGACACTCCTTGTCCCCAAAAAACCTCAACCACTTTGATATTGCAGGTTGCTTTTAACATTAGTACATTTATTTTGCTTTCCAAAGTTGGACATATAACTGGTTACTGATCTAAGTAGTGAGAAGATAAAAGTGTTGAGAAATTGAGCAAATCCAGGAAAGCAAACTTTATTTTCCATTATACAGACATAGTCTATAGACTATAAATCAAAAGGCACTTTAAGAATTAGATGCTGGGACTGTATGGCATGAGTCTTAGTACTCTCAGAAAAAATGTCTAAGCTGTAGACATGAGCCCACTTATGAATAATTAACACTCTTTATTATTAATTATTAATCTTTTTGCTTTCATCTTTTGCCCTTTGTAGTTCTGCATATTTTCTTTGTACTGCTGTGTCCATTCCCTTAAAAGATCAAGAATACAAGCATAGAAGGAAGCTTCAGTGATAAACTACTTCGCCCACCAAATACGTAATTATTATTTAAATTTCCCCCTTCCTTCATTTCCTTCCTTCCTTCCTTCTCCCAACCAATATGTAAATACTATTTAAATTTCTTCCCTCAGAGTAAGACAGCTCTAAAGCAATAAGTGAAAAACTGCTATTACTTGTCTAGAAGCTCTATGCAGCTGTTTTGTTTATTTGTGTGTAATCCTATGCCATCCATGCTACTTAGTAGAATTGAAGAATAAGCTATACTTATTTTCCCTTTAAGTTTTATATTCTCTGTATATTTTTCTTTATATTCTTTATATGTACCCAGATAAATTTGGATATAACCACCTCATGTTTAGTTGTAATGTTTACAGCTTTCACAACCACAAGAGTGCAGCTCTGTTCATATAATGTGTGATTTACAATAAAAATTCCCAGTATTAGTCTTGTAGAATTAATGACCAATCAAATCAAATGCCATTTACCAGTCTTGATTAATGCCTTGCTAGTTGTTGATAACCTTTCAGCTGCAAGCAGACAGTTAAGAATAAAAAATAGATCAGGTATTTGATGGTCACTATAGATTATGTGATTCAACTACCGGTAGCTAGCAAGTTCTGTATGTAATTCAAGCCTAAATAGTTTTGTTTTGTATGACAATTACAGTATGTCATTTGTGTGAAAGGTGTATGACAATTACATTATGTTTAATGTAAAACAAGTGGGGAGGAAGAGGTAAACTACAATCCAGACAAAAACTTTTTACAAATAATTTTATTAAGTTTTAGAAAAGATAAATGATAAAAAGACAGGACTGGGGAAAAGAAAAGTTAAAGAAGAACCAGGTGTGCAAAGAGAAAGAAAAAAAATAAAAAAGGGGGAAAGGATAAAATAATTTCCCACTTTCTTTGGTACAGGTACAGATATAAAATACATTAAACCTCTTACTTTAAAATCAACAATAACAGTATTCCTATGATCATAAACAATTCTGATCACCAAATCCCCAAAATTAAGTTTTCATTTCTTTCAGTTCCTAGCAAGAAGTCCAACAGTGATTTCCAAATCGACATAAAGGTAGAAAAAGACTTTTCTTTAATCAGAGTGGTCAATTTAGCCTTATTAGCTAATTCCATTAACTTTACCATCCTTTTTCTGTGATAGTAATTTGTATGTCCCTCCATTTTTGTGCATACAAGAGTCTTGCTGCTGCTGTCATATATAGAAACAAACTCCCATATTTCCTTTTAATCTGTTTATCCATCAAACATAAAAGGGAAACCTCTAGTTTCAGTTGCATATTTATCATAAGAATTTTATGGATTAAGATACATATCTGGTCCCAGTATTTCCTAGCTTTGTTAACTATCTACCAAAACTAGTAAAAATACATCCATACAAATATTGAACTATATACCAGTGGTGGCAAACCTATGGAACGGGTGCCAGAGGCGGCACTCACAGCCCTCTCTGTGGGCACGTGCACTATCACTCCAGTCCTAGGGCTTCAGCTGGGTTTTATAAAACCTTTTTGCTTTAGGCCTCCGCGGCTGTGTGCAAAAAAAAAAAAAAAAAAAAAAAAGGTTAAATAAGGTTCAATCAGTCAGTCAATTTCAACTTCTCGCAGGAAAAAAAAAGATCTTCAAGATTGGAATTAATTGATTGAACTTTTTAGTCCCACCCAGTCTGCCGTTACCACTGAGCCACGCCCACCCAATGGGCCACACCCACCTGGCACTCGATGATGCATAAATGGGTTTTGGGTTGCAGTTTGGGCACTCGGTCTCTAAAAGGTTCACCATCACTGCTATATACTATAGTACTTTTAAAAATTATATTCCAATCTAGAAGAACTGAAGTATAAGAGATCAATTATTCTTAGATTGGTTTAGACTTCCATCTGCAGCTTTTCCTTTCTTTTGCTTGAATATTCTGAAGTGGCAAGCAACTTGCTTTGCATAGGCTTGTAGCAATTCTTAGCTTTTACTGTAAAAAAGTATCTTGGAGTTAAATAAAAAAGCAGCATGATTAATTTTATTCTCGATATGGGACAATACTAATTTGTAAGTCTTATAGTGCTTTTTTGCCACATTCCCACCACTAGATGGTGATCAAGTGACTAACAAATATTCTTGGAATAAAGTTTGAATCACATGAAAGTGTATTAAAAATCCATTCCAAAGGCAAGAAAATAATAAAACCTGTCACCAATGTTATCAGCTAAAAATACTCAGACCTCTTTTTTTGCTTCTAATCTTTCCTGGTTGCCAAATTAAGATGTTCTCCATCCATTTTGAAATCATCAGAAAACTACTGGAATTAAATTTGCTATCACAACTGCTAATCTCAGAAATGAGGCAGAGAAGCAACCTCAACTTTATCTTTTCTAGGTAAGCTCCAATAAGAGCTAACTTGGGATGGGGAAATTTTTTTCTCATCTTGAATGAAAACAGCAGAGACAGCAAGTGCTTTAGAAATGTTCTGAGAGTAAACCGAAACAGGAAAAAATAGGAAGAAAAAAATAGAAACAAAAGGAGACTAGTGGAGTCACGCAGACACTAAAAGTTTTTGCACTCCCCCTCCCATCCCCGATACACACACACAATTGCTTTTCTTGGTGAAAGGGACTGTGCTTTTCTTTTGGGCCCTATTTGAGTTTTTGTCCTCCACTTCACCTCCCTTATCTCCATGACCTCAAAGGAGATTGGTAGGCCTATGATTGATTGATTATGTGTTGACTCTTAGCAACCCATAGATTGTTTTCTGACTTAGGCCTATAAACAACCCTTTTCTTCCAGCAGATATTTCAGACAAGCAGGACTGCACTTTTATTTTGTGTTCGCAAAATAATAAAATCATAGGACTGGAAGGACTTGTGGTTCAACCTCCTGCCCAAGGCATATTTTCTTATTCCATCCCAGACAAATGGTTGTCTAATGTTTTTTCTTCTTCTCTCTCTCAGCATCTAGGAATTTGGAAGTGGATGCATTACTCAAAGTGTGGCCTCTCCAGTGCAGTATAGTATTACTTCTTGTGATCTTGATGCTGTCCCTCTATTGATACAGCCTATGATTGCATTGGCTTTTTTGCACCTAATCCTTGTCACAAGTACTGCCTATTCTGTATCTGTGTGGTCCTTCCTCTTCACAGGAAATACAGTTGTTGAGAATTTTTTTATTTCTTCAAATCAGGGTTTTTTTGGGGGGAGGGGGACTCCTGGGATGACTATGGAGTAGAGCAGAGGGACCGGCACCACAGCTCACCTTCCCCCACCGCTGCCTCCACCAGCGCGAGTATGGGCTGCACAGCTTTGCTTCCAGATCTGCTGCTGGCCGGCTTGGCGATGCAGAGATTACCGCCACCGCCTCCTGCTTTCCTGTGTGGTTGGCCAGTCAAAGGGCTCAGAGCAACAGGAGGAGCAGCAGTCGCCGCCTCCGTCAGAGCCACCTTGTAGACAGGGCCCTATCTGAGGACTCCTTTCTGGCCATCCAGGAGCTGTCTCCGCCCACACCGATGGGGCTGCCATGATGTAGGACAGCCAGCAGGCGGTAGCTGCTGACAGACATTGTTGGTCCCCATGCGCTCGCTGGCCTCTGTGTGCGTGGGGACCGATGGTGTCAGGCAGCAGCTGCTCCGGCCCCTGCCCCGTCTTGCTTTGCCCCACAGCAATTCGCACAGCCATCCTGCCTCACCTCACCTCACCCTGCAGGATGAGCCTCTGGCCCACCACTCCACCTCCCAGAGACCCCCTGGATCTCCCCCAACTCTGCCCAGCCCCCACAGGTGTCCCTCCCAAGCATCATCGAGGTAGCCATATTCACTGCGGCCATGCCCACCTAGTCGGCTGGGACCACTGTGGCCACACCTACCCAGTCGGTCACGCCTACCCAGCACATGGTGATAAATAAATGGGGTTTGGGTTGCAGTTTGGACACTCGGTCTCTAAAAGTTTCGCTATCACTGCTATAGAACAATTGTTTGTTTTTTCCCTTTTCTGAGAGGGATGACTGGATGACAGGGAATACAACAATTACAGTATATGAAAATATCATGCAACACTGCCCGGCCTTGTTTGCTGAGTTGCAGTAAAAGTTTATGTTGACATAAGTTTTTGCTGACTGAAGACAGTAAGAAAAAAATGCAGTTGTTTTGATGGAGAGTCTAGGGTTATGTAGAGCATACTGAACTAAGCCATTAGTTAACCCACTGGCTTTGTTGCATTTCCCCTTTCTCAACATCACATCCTAGAGCAGTGGTTCTCAACCTGTGGGTTGGGACCCCATTTGGGGTCGAACGACCATTTCATGGGGGTCGCCAAACAACACAGTCCGCCATTTTTTTCCCCCTTTTCCTTAGCTGTGCTACTCCCTTTTATTCTATTGGCTTTTGAAAGCCAATAGAATAGACTCTCTTGAATAGAGTCTAATTCTATTGGCTTTCAAAAGCCAATAGGAATTGTCCAGGCTGTCTCTGCCCTGCTGAGCCCACCAAAAGTCACATTCTGCAAACGGTGCTGCACCAGTTGAGTAGTCCTTGACTTACGACCGGTTGAGTAGTCCTCGACTTACGACCGGTTGGGGGGGGTCGTGGCATTAAAAAGGTTGAGAACCACTGTCCTAGAGAAAAACCAGCTGCCAATCCCAACATTGCTATTTTGATAGATGGTTTTGACAGGTGGCTAGACTCATGGTTCTCCTTTACTGGGGAGCCTTACCCCATTCTACTGAACGGATCAGCTGCCAAAGCCATAGCAACCACCAATGGCAAAGTAGGCTGGAGGTTCCATTAAACTCTCTGCCCATAGATCAGCATGAGCAATCACTTTTAACTGCTTTTAGCACTTTTAACTGTGGTAAGAGGCAAGTCATGAGAGGCCCTAAGAAGGCTTTCTGTTGTAATTCCACCAGATGTTTTTCTGATGGTTTGAAGCTGAAAGGAGTACTTCAGCAGGAGTACAAGATATAATGTTTCAAATAATCTAGTTTTCAGTTATGTGGTGCTTTATCAATTATAATCAACCAGTCAGGCTCTGGTTAC